GATGTGGTGACAAATTCCCGGCATTAAGGCATCGAAAAGAAAACATGAAGATGAAGAGTAAAGTCATAGAGGTCAGCTTCTGGTTAAAATATGAAGCTCAAACCAAGATGCAGTTTTATTGCTGGTAAAAAAAATATTTTCGGCTAGTAGATTTTCCCAGTTTTTTTTCATTTTGGACAATGACTGCTTATTACTAATCAGATGGTACCGAAACAGATAATACATTTGCCGGTGACTATGAAGCATTTTAAAACTGTTGATTTCCAGTCAGTTAACTACAATTAATTAATTAGCTTTAGTGCAGAAACTGTAGTTTGTAAAGCTCAGTCTTGCGAGCATTTTTAATGTATCAGTGTATTCCTCTATCATGCGTTTTTGGGCAACAGTGGAAGTCAAAAGTAAATAGACAGAAGCTATATAGACAATATTTGATAAGTAGATAATTGATTGTTTTTTGTCTTATCAGAGTATTTGTTGATGAAAATATTGCGGGCATTACAAAGAGAACAAAATGATGGCTGAATTTTCTTCATCTATCTATACTGATTGTATAAAGCTGGTCCTTGTATAGAAATAGACACGTGCCTGCACATACACGCTCACAAATTACTTTTAGACAGTTGTGTGTGTGTGTGTGTGTCCTCTGTTCCCTTTACTTATATCACACCAGTTGTCCCAGTAGGGCAGGATCCAGCTCGCACTAAATGCTCCCTTTATAAAGTGCATAGGCCCGGCTCGAACACTGCACAGGGGGGTGCTTTGTGTGTCTGCTTGTCTTTATATACATGTGAGGACCATAGACTGCATAATTGTATGAATGTAATTTAGAATAAAAAATAAAAAATGTATAACATTTTGAGCCCACTGGTTTTGATTGTGTAAAAATGGTTACTACACCCATTTATAGTAAATAATAAGCTCAAGATGCGAGTAAACCTTCAGACCAACCTGATAAACCCAGTGCTTTTACATATCAGGGCCTTCAGTGTTTTGTTTGAATGAAATGAGCACTAGAGTGCAGGTGAAGGTCCTGGGCCTCAGGATCAACTGAATTATACCCTGCTGAATAATTCCCTGTGTCCTGGAAACAACATGGAGAACAATAAGTCCTTGAATGGTGGAATACAATAAGCAGGAAAGCTTAGGAGAGCCTTATACATATTATTTTATTGTACATCACTTAACAAAGTTCAGGGGTTTCCAGCTGATAGCAATCTTTACCTGCAGCCAGAGTAAGCTGGGGCTTCGGGGCCCTGAATGTCAATAGAGAGGACAAAGGAAGGAGGAATTGGCCTTCCTGGTGATAAGATGCACTTGCTCTATTGGACTTGAGCCACCCAACCAGATAACTTTGCCGAAGATTAACAATAATGCTGGTCAGTATGTGAGTCAGTATGTGTTTGTGTGTGTAACATTTAGTAGGATCTGTTGGCAGAAATGAAATATAATAATCAAAGGATGTATTTTCATTAGTGTTTAATCACCTGAAAATAAAAATTGTTGTGTTTTTTTTTACCTTAAGGTGAGACGTTTTTATCTACACAAGGAGTGAGTCCTCGTCCACACTGGCTATAGATGGAGCCTTTTGTGTTTTCCACGAGTTGTGGCCACGATAGTTTTTCTTTTATGCCTGGTTGAGTCAAGGATTTTTTAGTCTGTTGCAATCTGTAACAATGATCCTTGTTTTTGTTTAAAAAAGAAAAATATCAGCTTTCAACTTTTGTTCAATACTGACACAAAGTATCCTCCACAATCAGTCATGTTGTTTGAGAAACATTAGAGTTGCTAAACTCTAAACAGTTACTTCTCAAATAGCTTATTTGTTCAGCCAGCACATTTACTTTAACACAAATCCCAGAGCTAAACTGAATGTTCTCGCCAAATAATTATGTGTTCAATTGTTTTCTCACTGGTTTAGTTTGCGATATTTCTTAAATGGATATTTGATTTTAGAAGATACTCTGATTCAAAATTTGGTCTGAAAGCTCACTTTTTGGGCAAGTGGCTGTAGGTCTGGTTACATATTTAAATACATACATGCATACATTTAGTTATCAGGAAGCCTGTGTCACTCTTTCTTCTCTCTGAGAATACTGATGATTTGGACAGCAAATATGTCCTGTTGACCACAGATTCCTTAGGTGATGAAAAAATTGTCATGGAGTTGACATTCAAAGAAAAATATGCTAGACTACAAAACGTTAACACAACATCATCTAACAAAAGATTTACTGATGTATTAGAAGAACTCAGCAACACAAGACCAATGTTAAGTGATGTTTTTATGCTTGAGGACTCTTGGAAGAATAGCCCATTTGGGCTAAAAGAGATACTAATAAAGAAAATCACAAATCTCATCAATACAACGACAAAGACCTTGAAACAGATTACAGCGCTGATGATGAGGGTAGGTCTTAAGTTATAGTAAAATGCTGCCTCAAAAGGAGAAAAAGTACTGTATGTACTGCAAAAACATGCAATTAAACATTAGAAACTGTGTCAAAAAACAGTTGACCTGAAACAAAAGAACATAATATTTGTATTCACTGTGGATATTACTGTCTAGCAGAACAGCTTGCAACTTGGAAACTGAGGTCTAAAAAGGTTAATCTCTTGATGAGATTGATTTAGGCTTAGAAAGTGAGTAATAAAATGTATTAATTCCCTTATGTCACATTTAATATTCAACAATTCAGTGTGTCTTATTCTAGTTGTAGTTTGAAGTATGTTGTGTTCTATCAAAACAGTTGCTTTGTAATCAGAAGTGGGAGCTGTACAGAAGTCACACCTTTCAGTTTTCTTGTACAAGTGATGTGACATGGAACATTGGTATTGTGGAAGTTACGTAGATAACATCAGGTTGAAAATCCTCTCTTCCGTATACTGTATAGTCAAAAACGGATGTTGGATATGAAACTTACCATCTAAAATAATATGACAGCAAAACACTGCAGACTTTCTTACTTTGGTATTAATGTTGCTGTCAGAAGTTAATGACTATGTAAAATGTTCTTTTTCTTACTGTAGAAGAACCAGACACTTTGACTCTAAGGACCTCAACTGCATGACCATCACAAGCTGAAAAGAAGAAAACAGTTAAACTCTGTTATTTTTCTTATCTTCTACTCCTGCCATGCTCTTTATTTATAATACTTAAGTATTACCTGTAAAAAACAATTTAATTTCACACTCCAATTATATTTTCTTTTCCTTCTTTTCTTGAAGGTTCCTCCGAAGAGCCTTTTTGTGCATAAAGATTTTTATGAACATAACTTAATAATTCCCAACAAGGTGTCCATTATCAGGAATTAATGGACGACATGGAGCCCAGAACCGTCCAATATGCAGTGGAGGTCACTTGCCAAAGAAAAAAAAGATAATTATTTCATATTTTCAATCAAAATCTTAACTTTTTACAAGCCATAACTCAATTTTCTTGGTAACGCCTGAGGGTTTTTACTAATAAGATCCCATAAGGTCCTAAAGAAATGAAAACGTTCTTCACTACTACTAAATGCAGTTATTTTTGCTCAGCATCACTGAGATTGAGGGACAATTTACACAATTACTTCAAGTCCTGTAATTGTAACAGTGCGGTGACAACTAGTCCTGATAAAGAATTGTACCTCAAGGCAGAACCAGTACTTACAGTCACTACTGAAAAGATTTTAAGAACCAATTCTACAATTTCATCTCAAAAAAGGAAACTTTTGGAGTTTATTTTTATGTATTTGAGAAAACCGTTAAAGGAAGTCCTTGAGCCAGCTCTTCATAATTTATGTTGATGCAAATTCAGCCCTCGGTTAAACTCCCAGTGAACTCTGTTAGCTTGACTATTTTCCATGCTTGTTAAAGCTGGATCTCAATAATCTGGACTGTTGAAATTTGTGTGCTCTATATCACGGTATGTGTCATAGTATTCGACTTCTCAAGAATCGCTCACCCCCACCTATAAGTGACAATATCTTTATAGAAAAATGTATATCGTCCTTTTGATCAAACAAAAGTGAGTTTAAAGCTGGGGAAATAAAATGCTAAGAGCTCCCACTGAGCTCCAACAACACTGTATAATGCTAAATTGGTTGGCGTTAACTAGAAAAATAAGGTGGGGTTTAGAAGCAAAGGGGCAAAAATGAAAGGTTTGCTAAAAGCTGGAAATATAATGTCTTTTGTTCGGGTGGTCTTAAAGGTCCTTCCTTGACTATATCATAGCAACTTTAACTAAGATATTTGTCTTTTATATATTCCTTTCCCAGGTTGTCAATTACAGACCAGAGCCGCATTCACTTAGTTGCAATCTGAAACTTCACCGCTAGATGTCACTAAATCCTGCACACTGGTCCTTTAAATTTAAAAAGTTTAAATAAAATAACCAAATCAGAGGCTATATCGATCAAATATTTTTTGAGTTTTCGTAATGTTATTTTCTGTCTCTACTCCCTGCAGTTTTTCTTTTTTTTTGCACTATTCAAGTGGTGACCCTTACAAAGAACTCAGAGACCATGGTCCTCAGTATGTCGTAAAGACGTGCGTGTGTGTGAGTGAGTGTTCACTGAGTTGAAGAGCAGTTGTCGTTGACAGCTGCATGGGAGCAGTGAGAGAAGGAGTCAAGTGGCTTCAAATAGCCGTCGTTCTCCTCATTCATCAGAGGAACCCCTCCCCTCTCTCTCTCTCTCTCTCTCTCTCTCAGCAGCCATTAGTGTGAAGTTTACATTTCTTTTGTTGACACAGTCATGAAGATGTTTTTTTAATCTCTGCTTTCACTTTAAAAGAATGTTTCATAAATGCCCAGAACAAAGAGGTTAGCACAGTTCAGTCCACTCTCTCTGTAGGTAAGCGTAGAGGTGTTCAAGTTAGCATTATTCTGCTGCTGAATATCTGCGGTAGGTTAAAGGCTCTGTTTACCCAATTTAGCCAATCAAACATTTTTTCAAAGTTAATGACACTCAACGTGTACTGTATGATTGTGTATGTGACAATAAAAACATGGACACAGGAGATAGCTGTAAGTGTGCATTTTTTTAAAATTCCAATCAAATGGAAAACACCTGAGGTTATCTCTATTTTATAGACAGCAGCTTTCTTTATGTAATATTATGACTCAGGAATTCGAGCAAAACAACCAGGTGTCACTATTTCGTGTTAAGCATGTGTTTTTTGTAATTTACAGATCAAAAGACATCTGGACATCTAGGTTACCAATAGCCACTGTTTGAATAACATTTAAATCAGGGCTCCAACTAATCATTTTCATTATCCATTAATTAGAGTTGTTCCGATACCGACACCAGTATTCGAAATTCCTCTGATACTGACGGTGCACTGATCCAATACCACGTAACTTATTAGCACCAAAATAGATTAGCTTTTTTTTCCCAGGATAGAAGTCATAACCCCGCCCTACTCTGACTTTGACAATAGCAGACAATCTTAGACATCATTCAGGCTTAGTAGTAAACGCTCGTTAACAAATAATAATATACAGTGTATGTATACATTTATTTATTTTTAATGCACATGTATCGGATACTCGGTATCGCAAAGTTAATGTATCGGAAAGGAAAAAATGGTATCGAAACATCTCTACTATTAGTCCATTATTTTTCTGTTATTTCATCATTGTACATAGTGTATAATCATGAATTCAAATCATAAATAAGTCTAAGGTGACATCTTTAAATTGGTTGTTTTGTTGTGACCAAGAGTCTAAAAGTATTCAATCACATAATCAATCATATGAAACAGGAGAAAAAGCAGCAAATCCTCACATTTCAGAGGCTATGAACAGTAAATGTTTTGGTGCCTGATTAAATTTCCATCAATTGACCACTTAAACTCAATAGATTTACTGTATGTAATTTTTACGTAGATGATATGATGTTATTTGACTTGCAAGTCATCAAATTCATGCTTACATCCTGGTCACTGTAACATATTATTGAGACACGTGTGTCCCAATTACATGCTACTTATAAACAGTATCAGTTAATGTAAAAGATATCAGTATACTCAACTGTACTAACAGGAATGGAAGCAGCGCATGTCCCAATGGATGTCAGTTAGACTTTGCAGCTCCTCCATTTCATTTATGCATTGCATTGTGGGACAATGGTGTACATCAACTGTACACACATAAATGAATAGGATTTATTATGCATACAGACATAGTTTGTACATAATATGGAATTGGGACACAGCTTGAAACATTACTTAAATATCTTTTTAATATCAGTTGAAAACGTCCAAAACTGTTTAACTTTTAATGTGCCATAAAATACTGACAGTGTTTTTTTTTCAGTTGACATTGAACCAATAGTCCATGTAAACCAAAGTGTTTGCTCCTCCTTCCTTCGCAGTCTGCCAAATTCTTGCTGTGCGGCCTCCTGAACACCAACATGGCCTTTCCTCCAGCCATAACACTCCCAGTGTCTGTAGTCCAGTTGTCCCAGTGAGGCAAGTCCTGCCAAGTCCTTCAAGCGCTTAAATTTGGAGTTTGACAACACGTGTCTCTGTCCGTCTGTCCCCAGACTTTTTCCAGTTTAGGAATGTTGTCCCTGCCTGTTACAGAAGCACAAAGACTCTTGTCTTTGTCCACATCCGTCAAGATCAGATTCTCTCTCTCTTTCTCTCTCTCTCTCTCCTCCGCGAGTCCACTTTTGTTTCCACGCTTTGTATCCACACTGCCGGCATTCAGCTCAGCAGAGCTGTGCTGCTGCTGCTGCACAGTCCGCCATAACACCGAGCTGCAAGCAGACCAGAAGCCGTTACAGCACAAAAATGCCATCTGACCAATTTTCAGTTTCTCTGTCAGTCATCCCATAACAGCAGCAGAGCAACAGAGTAGAGCACGAGTAGAGGAAAGAGGCTACAGCTGAAGTAGGAGTGAAGGGAGGGGAGGAGGGGGAAGAGTCTCAGCAGTCTCTAAAACCAATACAAATCCTTGCTCTTATCCTGTGCCTGCAGACCTGAGAGAGGAGGAAAGAACGGAGGAAAAAAGAAAAGGAAAGGCAGTGGCAGAACAGAAAAGCAAGAAAAGGGAGATTAGAAAAAGAAGCGCAAATGTCTTGTTGATAAAAGCAGGAGGAATTGCCCGAGGCAGAGAGGGGATGAGAGCAAGACAGCAACAGAAAAGGAAGTTGACAGCTGGTGTTAAGGTGCTGATTGACAGTCAGTTTGTTGCTTCAAACCACTTGTGGTAAGTTGATCTGAGGTGGGGGGGATCTTCATTTAAATCTGGTTTTCATGCTTTTAAGTTGTTACTTTGTCATCTGGCCATACTGAATGTCCTTAAAGCTGCTTTCGTTTAATCAGTAAATTCATTCAATAATCAGCTCTCTGAATTGTTGTGTATTTAACAGGCCAAGTTCAGCATCAACTAAAAGAAGCAGGATGTTTTCAGTGTGTCAATATATAAAGAGGAAAATGAAAATGCAATTAAAACAGTTTTGCAAATGCTTATTTTACAAATGTAGCCGTTTTTCAATGAGGACAGATGTCAGCTTGACTTAGATTTCTTTCTTATGTGCAAAGCTGTTTTGGCTGTTTTTATTTCATCTAGTCTTTGGTGTTCATTCACCAGGCAACTCTTTGGGTTTGCAGTTCAGCCGTGTGAAACACATAAAATGACAGATTTTCTTCAGCTTTTTGTCCTCCTCGATCAAAGATTTTGTCAGCAGATGGAAGTCAAAGCAAATCCTGACACCTAAAAAGATATTCCCCGTGTTGCAATTTACAAAACACCAATTACAAGTTTTTCCCAGTCCCAATTAAAATCAGACTGGTTAAACACTATACAAAAAACATCAGATTCCAGACTGTGAATCGGTTTTATGTTGTTATTTTTTACTTTTCAAACTTAAGAAACTGCTGCATATCTCATACTTAATGTCCAGCTTATGAAACAAATGTAAAACAGTTACCAGCATTCTCAGAATCTCTCATGTTTTGGGTTTTTTTCCAACAAACTCCACAGTTATTGTGGAAGAGAACTGATATGCATTTACACTTGAAGTTCTCAGTTATAGTTGTGGTGTGGACAATTGCCATCCACTTGAGTTAGAAGGGTTTATAAAATGATAGCTATTCCTCTTGATGTGGACAGCCGTTCCACAGCAGCACCTTTTTTTAAACTGCTCCAAACATCCTGGATAAACACAGTGAATGACTGCAAAGTACTGGGATAGCTGAAGTACATCTGCTCACTGGTCATGTTGGATACACAACTAAGACCAAGCCGTGGTCAATCGAACATCATTCAGATTTCTTTGCAAGTATAAAACCTTCTTTCCTAGACCTGTGGTTCCCAACCTTTTTGGCATGTGACCCTTTAAAACAAAGTAAAGTCGACTCGTTGTGACTCCTTGTAAAAGCTTACAGACTGTAAAACCTAACAGCACATGTTAATAAATGAAGTAAGTTAACGTAACTTGATCCTCCAAAAAATGTGGAGTAAAACTCAGTTGTTTTAGTGAACTTCAACTCAAGTGGTAATATCTGTATAAAGACGATAAATAAATTTAAATAAGTTTGGAGAAAAGCTGCATATGACTGTGATATTAGTTTTAATGTTCAATTTACAGAATGCAATTGGTAAAAACTAATAATTTTACCCAAGTTACCTTAACAAATAACTAACTTAATAATATTGGGGAAACTTATCACTAAAATGTTCACTGACTGAATATGTTTTCCGCCAAAATATCTGATATTGCGGTACAATATCCACATTATTAAACGTTTTTATGGTTATGTTTAGGCACTGACAGCACTATTTTAAGGTAAGAGAAGATCGGGGTCCACAGTAATTTGATTTACGAGACCCAACATTTAAGTGAAACTATGGTCTTTTTCTAATAAGTACGTTGGTTGCCTAACCAAGGACTTCTTGGCATGAACTATGATTTCTTCTTCATCCCCCACGATGTGTCCAAATAAAAAGGAAACATAATCCATGCACCAATTACAAAAGCGCAACATAACTGGGAAAACAATTTATTACTATGTAAATGTAACAAGCCCAAATAAGTAAAACTATCCAGTATTTCACCAAAAAAAAAATAAATGTTCACCCCTCACATTTACCTGACGATCTTACAGGTACTCCGTAAAGTTACTGTTTAAACAATTGGGTTTTAGATTTCATATTAGAATTGAATGATGGCTTGTAAGCCTTCTCTATGCCCCCCAGAAGGCCTCTCTAGTGTTAGTCTAAGCTGCAGCCATGGCAGAAAATCCTAAGAATAACCTCATAAATTATAAAGTAAGACATTTTCTTGACTACTATTAACATACCTGAAGATGTTTTATGCTGTAAACATACAGATACTTTTGATTGTGAGTTAAATAAATTAAATTGACCTGATGTGAAGACAATACCTGTGTCCATGTTGAGTCCGATCTCTGCTCCGGCTCCGGTGAAAGCACCACTCCAGGCTGAACCCGCCCCAGACTCCCCCTTCCCTCCTAGATCACAAGACGAGGCGCTGGGCCCCGGTACCGAGCTGCCAGATGCCAGACGATGATGAGGCCGCACTGACGGTACCAGCAGAGAACCGTAGCGAGGGTCGAACGCCGTACCGTACACTTCATGAACCCCCGGGCGTGGATACGCTGAGCCCTGGGTGCTTATAGCGCCCCCTAGTGAGTAAGGGTGGTGGTGGTGATGGTGGTGGTGATGGGATGGGTGCCAGGTGTCGGGGCTAGATTGGTGGAGGTGGCTGTGCAGGGAGGCGGAGGAGTATGGGTCCCCAGGGAAGGGGAGCTCTGTGTGGGGAGCTGACAGAGCGCTGCCAAGCGTGGAGGAGACCGACGGCTGGTAGGAGCTGTTCCAGAAAGACGGAGGGAAACTTCTCTGGCTCATAGGGAATGATCCATCTGTGAAGACACAATCCACACTACGGATTACGGATACGGATCCACAAAAAGGAAACTTTTTGGTTTTCCATTAAGTTAGCCTAAAGTAACTCATTATTAAAGCAGCTAAGTTGATGCTGAAGGTTAATTTGTTGACCTCAGAAACAGTGTACCCAAATTCTTATCGCACGCACTTGTTTTTCCTGAAGCTTTCAGCGATAAATTGTGGCCATAATACTTCATTTTAAAACTGTCCCACTGTGTATTTTGGCAATAGCTTACTTTTTATCTCTTATTTTGCTGAACTAATTAGAATTGAATCGATTAGATGACTGACTTATAAAACTTACAAAGCCAAAATTAGCTTGTAACAACTTCTTAAATGTGAGTATTTGTTCCTTTTTCTCTGATCTGTTCTGTTATTTTATTGTAAAAGGATTAACTTTGGGTATTCAGCCTGTTGGTAGAAAGAAAATGTGACTCTAATCATTACTTTTATTATTCAAGGAAATAATTAAAGATTAAAATGTGGATGGATAATGATTAGTTAGAAATTAGAAATCAACACAAGTTTGAGGTCATCTTTATAAAGAGGGAGGGCCCAATATCTCCATGCAGAGTAATAATAATGCTTGATTGGCTTGAGAAAGGGGGTTTTTCTTTTTCAACTTCACCTTCACCCCTGATCACAAGCAATTATTATATATTATTTATAATATGCTAAAGGAGCAATAAATACTTAAAATAGTCCCTTTTTTTGTTTCTGTTTGGATTCAAAAGTCGCTAGATTACACAAAGATGCTTGAGTTGAGAAATGGCCACAAAAGGAGATGAAATGAAAAGCGAGTCGGCTGGTAACTAAGTAACACTGGTTCGTTTTTATTCACCAAAAGATTGTAGAAAACCTTACGTTTTATTTTTTTAATCGTCCCTTTATGTTTACATAAATGTCTAACTTTAAACACGAGGGTACCGTTTTATTTAAGATCCTGTTATTTCTGTAGCTAACAGAGATCAATAATAAGAGTCATCCGTTAATGTGATGCCAGAGAGAAATTCACTTGAGCACAATGTAAATAGGTACACTCACAGATGACTCTCTAAAAGCAGCTTAAAAAACTGAAAGATTTCTGGGAAATACTTCAAATATTAAAAGACGCTTTACATGTTACTAAAAACATGCCGTACTCCGAATGGTGAGAACTGAAACCGACCAAGCGGCATAGATTTCTCAACATATTGTTATTATATATTCACTGTGCGTTATGTAGACTTTATATTAAACACAACAGCACCAACTGAGACTGAAACAAAATACACTTCCTCTCCCTTGGTAACCTGAAACAGATTAACAGCCACTATAATAAACAATAGGAGGCTCACAAAGTACTATTATTCAAAAAAAATAAAATTACAAGACAATGAATAGCCGAGCAAAACTGGAAATCAGACGCACCAGATCAAATGTGCAACAACATCAACATCAATGGAACTCAAAACTTGAAGATATTGTTGCTCAAATTTGCAATTGTTCTCATTTTGTTGTTGTTTTTGTTTGCATGACAATATCTAATCAAATGTTACTTAGTGGAAATCTGTGAGCAACCAAGACAAACTTTATTTACTGACTCCTGGGAAATACATATCAAAACACACAATCAACGGGAACCAGAATTACATACTTTTACAGCACAAAGCTGCTAGAATTCACCCAAATCAACAACATTAAAGCATTTAGAGTCGAAATGCTGTTTGACACACATTGAGGGGAAACACTGGCACACACATGCAAAGGCACACGCACCTCTTAGGGCCTTGTGGCTGCTTGAGGCGGGGTATGCAGTTGTGTGGCTCAGGGCTCGGCTGAAGTGCTCGTCCACCACAGCGCTGATGTCTCCCTGGAAGTAAGTGAAGAGGACGCAGCGGGAGTTCAGGTACTCGGCTCCCGGCGGCAGCTCCTTGTCCTCCTCTTTGATCGCCGGGTGGCCTGGGGGGGCAAGCCGCCGCCCGCTGTCCTGGGGGTCTTGCATTTTGGAATAAAAGGCCAGTTTCTAGGTAGGACACAGATTTATACATGAGTGTTATGAAATTGTGTTGATTCATCATTTTGCTTTTTTTCCTGGATTTTAGATACTTTGGTACCTGATATGTGACATTTGACCTCTAAACCTTATAAAAATTTGCATTTTTAATTTTCTTTTCCGGACAAAATAGATGAAGACAAATCCATATGAACGCTTTGCCAAGTATTTATGCACAAACTGACTAAATTATACAAATGCATGCAGATGGGCCTTTAAAACTCAACAAACTGAACAATATAAGTAGTATAGTGAAGTATATACATTAGAAAACACAAAACCCAGCAAGAAAACAGGACAAAATATAAGTGAAAGTTACAACACAATAATAATAACACAATATAACGACCAAAGGTGACTTCCCGGCCTTGGCTGGTCACTCATTACTGAACCTACAAAGCTTTTTTAAACTCATATGAAAAGAGTATTTTATGTATATGGAATTACTTTAAGTCACTTTGAGGAATTGAATAAGTGTTTTTTTTTAAATTGTTATTATTTGACAAATGTATTAGATAAACCATACAAAATAATTCTACATAAAAATCTTGCTCATTATAAAGCTGTGTGTATCGTGGGTAGAGTCTAGCTCATCCAGAGTCTGTTTAGGTGACAGACGAAGTGAGTTTTGGCACTATGTGAAATATGCATGGATGTTGACTGAGAGGTTTTAAGAGAGTGAAAAAAAAGTCCTTTAACAAGTCTGCAAAGGCCTCACAGAAACCTGCTGCACTCAAACTGTTGAGTCGCAACCATGAATTCTGCTTACAGACGCAGATGTGACATTAAAAAAGGAAAATTTATAGTTCTATGCAGTTGCCTCATTACTTAAATAATAAAATATATGTCAAAACCATGAGATATAATTGATTTTAATCCTAAACTTTACTCATTCATCAATGTAACAGTAGGAATAAGTGTTCTTGAAAAGTAAAGATAAAAACATTAAAAAAACTTTAAAACTACTTGAATAAAGATCATCTGGGATTGTTATTAAAAAACAATAAATATATGTTGTTGTTTTTTACTTTCTATTTTGATTAAATACAATTAGCCTAAATAAAGGGAACAACAATCTGTTCACCTTCCTGTAAATTTTGAATTTAATATCGGATTTAATATCAATATTAATGCAAACAAAAAGACCCAGAAGAAAGTTTTACATTGGCTTCATTAAACTTTACGCACTGGATGAGTTCCTGCATGTAGCGCATACATACAGTCCATGCCTGGGATTTATGGTGTTTTATGGTGATTAACAGCGTGTTAAACATATATTTTTAAGATATATAGAGGATATTAAGTGATTATAAGGGCCGTATGAGTTAAATTATTACGCTTTCTAAACATATTATCCACATCTAATCGTTGTATGGCTGCGTAATCTCCTGTATTTCCAAGTAATTAAGTTTAAACCGGCGGTTCTTTGGACTTTAAAAACCTAAATATTAAAGTTTTCTGTACATTCAAACTGATATATAAAGTCCAGAGATAAGTAGAGCATGAGCTGATAAAGAGTATATGATCCATACCTGGTGGTGATAGGGGCTGTAGGAGCTGAAATAAGGCTGAGGACCAAACACTTGGTACATCACATCCAGGCAGCTCATGGCGAAGAAATCACGGAGAAGAACCAAGCTTCATGTAGAGAGCAGGTCTGCTGAGACGGAGAGGAAACATTAATCCCGGCGGTGGAGGACGGAGTGGACGACGGAGAGAGTCACTCTGCTGCGCTGCTCTGCGCTCTTAACGCACTGGACTGTGGCCGTGCTCACTGAAGGGAGCCCCGTCATCCCTCCCTCCCTCCTCCACACACCCAGCCTGACGCCTCCCTCCCACCAATCAGAGGCCAGAGCTCCACCTCTGCCTTAATTGGCTTTTAATTACAGAACAGGAGAATCACAACATCTATAAAGCTATTAAGTCAAATATCTGCATACAGCATGGTTGCCTCAGCAGCCCAAAACATTTTAATGATCCAATACATTTTATGTTTTTTGCTAATTTCACAAACATCCATATTATATTTTATGTTTTATTGAGCATCCTAGCAAAGCTTTTGTCTATATGTTTTTTTAATTACTATTATTTTCATTCTTAGTTCAACCAAATGTGTTTTTTACTGATAATGTATTTTTTATTTAAGAGTATCGATCTTGTTACAGTTTACTTCCGCAAACCGAAGCATTGGAGTTTAGCCTAGAACATGGAAGGTTTGTTCGGGGTTTGCTCATTGGAAAATGAAACTGAATTCTGCATGCAAGTAAGCTGCACCTTGTTTTGAGACTTGGTCACTGGTTTTCTTTATCCCTTATACCTTTTCAAGGTCATAAGAAGCATTGAGGCCAGTCGGAGGGCCTCCAGTTTATTGTCTGGACAGGTAGACACGAGAGCCCCTCAGAAATATAGGGTTTTCCATTTTTGGGGAATTTGATTTTTAAAGTTGTGAATTTGGGATTTGGGAAGCATGATTGGGATTGAAGAAAGTTGCTACCAATCACAATACACCACACCCAGTGGTTCCCAAACTGTTTTCATTGGACATAAGACATCCACAGCGATCTCAGACGAGCTCTTCATCAATCAATCAATCATGTTCCAAATGTGTTTTTTTTAAGTAGATTTTAAATTGGATGTTTTCATTATATAAACCTGGATACTGTTATAATAACTTAAAGGTACAATGTGTAGGGTTTATTGGCATCTAGAGGTGTAGTTGCAGATTGCAACTCCCTCGCTTCACCCTACCTTTCCAAATGCGAAGGAAAAACTATGTTGGAAACGTACAAAAAACGTGAACACCTCTATCTAGAACCAGTGTTTGGTTTGCAGATTCTGGGTTAAAAACGTCTCATTCTAAGGTAACAAAAACACAGCGATTCTTATATTCAGGTGATTGTACACTAATGAAATCATACATTTGAATATTATTACAATACATATATTTATACGCATGCGCCGCTTTCCCGAGCGGCTGCAGTTGCAGCAGCTCTCGCTCAAAGTTGAGCGTTTTTTCTCTTTTTTCTCGGCTGCTAGTGTTTGTGTTATTGTGTTATCTGTTGTGGTTTTTTACAGTTTTTTTCTCTCTTGTACAGTGTTTATATTATATTTTATTATATATTTTTTTTCATACTGTTTTTTTCTCTATCCACTTTTCTGCTGTAGATTTGGAATTTCCCCATTGTGGGACTGGATTAAAGGAATATCTTATCTTATCTTATTAAATTTTGACCAATAGATCCTCCTAAATACTCACACTGGCACTTTAAAGTAGTAAATTTGCAGTGTTAGCTTCTCTTCTTTTTTCATTAGGTTTGATCAAGTGTTGGAGTGGCAGAAACGGTAGGTTGATTCATTACGTCTTAACATTAAGTCACAAGGTTAATTGTATCATTGTGAGCCAGAATCACCATTAGTGCCACCATTTTCTTATGATTATGGAAGTTATCTAAGTGTGCACATGTTGATTTTTTTAGTAACCTTAACCTGAGGCCAACAATATTAAAAAAATAAGATGCACAGTCAGAAGAATTATCAATGCAAATCCTCATATAACTAAATAATTTGCCTTTTATCAGTCACTCAGTGAGCGTGACAAACAGTAAGTTAAAGAACGCAGATTAGTATGTAATAGTTAGTGCAGGTGATCATTTTATTCTCTAGTCTTTTTTTAGCGTTTGAAGCCACAAGAATGTAACAACTGGCACTTACTGCTAATTGAATAAGTAAACATATCAAACCGACCAATGAGTGGAATGTAATGCTATGAAGTCCCACAATTCCTCAGCGGCTTCCCGAATTCTGGAGGCCAAAGGTCAAATAGCTTTCTCCCAGTTTGGTACTATTAGTAGAGGTCAGGGGTCACCGACAACTTACCCAACAATTATCAAGCTACACTACGAGAACAAATGAGTGACACAGTGTTTATGTTGTCTTCAGACATTACGCTCAGCCTGATAATCAGTCTGTTTGTTTCGCTTACATTTACTCATAATTATAACACTTTCAAATACTTCTGGTAGGGATTTTTTAAATATCTTTTAGAAGTACCTGCACTTATTCAACATATTTAATCACAACCATATTTTTGGAATATTTCTGTACCCTTTCATATTCCTTTGACAGTTGTCAGGGTTCCCACATGTCCCGGAAAATCTGAAAATCTAGAGATTACTTTCTGGGTACGGTAACACATGGATTAAAATGACCAAATATCCTGGAAATGAACTATGTTGTTTTGTATTTTATTTGTATTTCAGCCCCTCACCAGGTGGATAAATCAGCTGGGGTGAGAACAACCGAGTATGCCACGAAAGAGCTAACAAGGAGCGTCCCATAAACGGTGACCACCATTGTGAGTTCTGTTCTGTATTGTCAAAAAAAACCTACTGGAAAATGTCCTGGAGAATGATCTCTTAGAAACAGTGGGAACCTTGATTGTTGATGTCAGAATCTGAATAAGAAATTACTTTTTTGATCCCTGGGAGGAAATTTGTTATAGCTGCTCAAGGTGCTCACACAACATTAAAGAATAAAAATAATAATTATATCACAATCTCTAACAATATATATAGAAATAGAATATAGAAATATATATATATATATATCAATTTATAAAGATAAAGTATAAAATATATATATAATAAGAGTCTAAGTATGTGTACATTATAGTACAATATATGATGATATATAGATATAGAAGTGTGTATGATACAGTATGTGACTGACAGAAGTTAAATGAATAATAGTAATAAGTACTGATAATGTTAATATGCTGACATCCTTAAAGGACTGCAGTATTAGTGACAGAATAAGCCGGATTATTACACATTAATCAGAGTTAGAGAAACTGGAGTCATGTGGAAATCAAGTAAAGGCATGTAGGTGATATCTACATACATACAATGACAAACAGGTCGAATAAAGAACTGTCTAAATACAAAAATAAAAAGGTAAAAGAAATAAAAAGATATAAATAATAACAAGATCTACACGTGTACCGATCTTTATGCATATTGGTGAAACGAGCCCCAGGGGGTTCAGTTTATGGGCCCCTGAGGGGTCATTTTGCCATGCTCATAGTGGACTCCCATAAAATATGAAATTGTTCGCCACAACTGATGTGTGCAGAGTTTCATGAGTTTTTGAGCCTGTTTTGGCCTTCAAAAATGCAATCATATTGGCAGAAAAATAATAATATTTCCTTGAAATACAACAGGTCCTTGCACTGGTCAGCGCTCGGGCCCTAAAGATAAAATAAAATGTTGTTTTGTCACTTAAAGTTTGGTAGGAAACAAATCAGAATGAATTTACTGTTGCAAATTAGTACATTTCTGAGAGACGGGGGTTGCTGTCAAACATCATCTGACAGGCTCACAACAGAAACACCCACAGCGACAGAAAAGTACTTGGGATTCCCAACACTAACGAAAATGTTTGATTACAGCCTGAGTGAAAATTACAGAAAACACAGCTGGGAAGTTTGTGGTCAGTTGCAGCAATTTATTTAGAGCTGAGCTGTTTACATGAACCTTTTGATCCCTTATAATTAAGTCTCCAGCAGACAGATCATTATAGACTCTGTAGCTGAGCAAGTTTATTTCCTTCACACAAAAATGATCCTTTTTTAATTATCAATGTCACATTTTTAATGACATGCAAATATTCCCCATGATGTGTTTGTCTGTGAAAAAGCAAACAAGAAAAACATTACACTTTATGATGCCACAGTGATCTGTTTATTATAGCTGTCTATCTTCTTCAGGCCTTTGAGCTCATACATGTTATTTTAATGAACTCAGATATGATGTTTTGCCTGCGCTGACTATAAATTAGACTACACAAGTGGTGGTTAGGAAACTTTTAATGAGTAATAAGTTGGGTACCTGTGTGAGAAACCTGTTCTATAAATAAGCATTCAAAATAAAGGTATTTGCACATTTATATAAGCATTATGTTATCACCATGCGCTTTCGCCTTGTACTAATAAACCGTTGTACCAATTTTTGTCATCCTGGCACTCGACTGTCCTTTTGGCTGACCCCTTCAACAACCAGCACACCTGTTACCCACCACAAGTGGTGCAGAGAAGCTATTAAAACCCCAAATATCTTCCATTGAGGTGCAGCTCAGCTCATCTCACAGGCATTATTCTACCGATCGATCTGTGTGTATTATGGAACTGGAATGGCCAAGGTTCAATGAGGAATTTTCAATCAGCAATGTTTGGCATCCTCTCTGCTGTCACTCAAGCTCTTTATATGAAATTATTTCCCAACACGAGGAACACCAGAGCTGCAAAAATATTCAGAGCTGGGTTATTTATTTTTTTTGGGTTTTTTTTGGGGCCAGTCTGAGACAAGTCAAAACCAAATTAAGTTTAAGTCTTAAAAGAAAATGAAAAGTTAGTTGCAGGTCTTTTGCTGTTGGTCATGAGCTCTTATTAACATTTAAACCTTTATAAAAGTAGAACATTTGTGCACAGTGACGTTTCCCTCCGTTCCTCCAACCGCTGCAATTTTTAGGATTTAATTTAGCTGTGATTGAATCTGTTACATTTCTTGTCCTACTTTACAGACAGATTACACAAACAAACAAAAACAAATAATTTAGCGAATCTAAATGAAAGAAAATCACATTCATAGCTTAATGGTGCATTGTATTTAAACTGGGAAGTCAGTTTAAACTGGATTTTCCCCTGAAGTCAGATTTCCAACTAAGAGAGTTGTAGTAATATATTGTTTATTAGCACTTCTGTCTTTTGTGT